AGAGAGAGAGAGAGAGAGAGAGAGAGAGAGAGAGAGAGAGAGAGAGAGAGAGGAGATCTAAAGTCATACATTAAAACATCTAAGTTCTACATTTATGGCAGACATTCATATGTACAGTACGCTCAGCTACTATAGACAATGCATGTTCACTTGCTTAATATGTAAAAATTTCAGGTATTTTGTAACTCAGAAATGCTGATTCTAAATATAACCCCTAAACCATAAAATCAAATACTTAAACATGACCTTCTATATGAAGGCTCATACCAGTGAAATTCATGGCAATCGTGAGACTGATGTCAGTGTTCATCAACAAATAAGAAGAATAATCTGCTCATAAACACAGGACATAGTGACATTTCTTTCATTTAATGTTGTGCTAAATGAAAGAGGCCTGTCACAGAGACCACATAGTCTATGAACCTATGGATGGGAAATGCCCAGAATACTCAGATACAGAGGAAGTGAACTGGTGGTTGCTTAGGTCAAGATTGCTTCAAAGTTACAACATGGCCAGAACAAAGTCCTCTATGATTGACATTGGTAATGGGCCAGGTGGGCCTTCAATCATTGCCGATTTCTAAGAAATCAATGTACTGAGAATAAGGGGTATTTAGTGTTGAGTCCTAAACTGAGCATCTATATCAGCACCCCCATGCAGGAAGGCTCAAGGAAAATGATGAAAGAGGGTGTGGAAATAATGTCAGGGCCAGGACTGTGGGAGTGTTATCCCATGTCAGGACGTGGCATGGCCCTCTCCAGGGAAAGAGTCACACTGCAAGTAAAATGGGGGCCTATGGATAGGATATAGATAACTTTATGGGTTAGAATATGTTAGAACCTGGCCAATCATAGTGCTTAAAGCCTGCTAATAAACTTAATAGTTCTCTGTCTCGATTATTTAGGAGTTAGCCAAGTTAAAAAACTACCACCTTTAAATATCATCCTAGATAGACCTATGGAAGGTGTCCGATTCCCTGGAACTGTAGTTACTGATGATTCTGACCTATGTGTGTGGATGTAGGGGTTCAAATTGGGGTTCTCTGAAAGAGCAGCCAGTGTACTTAATCACTGAGCCATCATCTGTCCAGTCTGATTCTGATATCATTTTGATCCTCCCAATAATAACAGAATAGAGGTTTGAGTATCACCTTAATCCTGAGGAACTGTGGGGGTCACTCACCAGTAGAGGAGCACCAGGCTGATTGCCAGGAAGACCCAGGTTTCTAGTGAGAGAGCTGAAAACAGGTCCATTCCTGCTTGTCTCTCAGCAATTTATTCCCCTGTGTTCTGCCTCCAGCTGTGTGTGTGATCCTATGCAGGGCTTCCCTTCTGCCCACTCTGCTGCACTATGGCCAGTCTGCAGTACTTATATGCTGGGAAAAAGGGTGGCATCAGTGATCCAGCCAGTAATGAGATCACCTCTGCATCAGCTGGACTTTGGTACTCTCTTCCCCCAGACAGATTATAAAGATCATCCACAGCCTATTTTGACCCCCTTTGAGCTACCATTCTGTGTGGTATCAATAAACATCATTGTCATATGGGTAAGGCCAAAGGTTCTTGGCAGAGAGAAGAGTCTAGAGTAGAAGCTGGGAAATCAGATGTTCAAAGACAAAGTTCAAATCCACATAGAATGTTTGGCACCAGCTTTGGATATGAAATCAGGTCTCAAAAAAAATTCTTCAACTACACCAATCCATCAAAATTCAACACATGCCATCCCTTGACTATGGTGCCAGAGGGAAAGAGACAAGCCCTACCAGTCATTGCTGAGAGAGAGGGAAGAGTTGTACTCAGTTGTGATCCACTGGTGACTGGTGACCCACAGGCTCTAATGGATGGCTTCAAACACACAGTCACACACATGGCACTAGATAAAGTCTTTAGGACACAAAACAAATCATGAATATGGGAATGAGATTTTCAGGGAAGAACTGAGGGTGACAGAGGTGGGGTAATAAAGAGACTGAAATTTAACAAAAATGTGTGCTCATGCCTAAAGTTGTAAGACAAACAGACAGCAGACAGACAGACAGACAGACAGACAGACAGACAGACACAGAGACAGATGGAGGGACAAGGAGAGAAAGTCATTGATTTAATAAAAAAATAGCTAATGAAATGCAGAGAGCCACAGTCAAACATCAGGGGATGCCCAAAGAGACCTGTGGAAGACTTCAGGATAAGAGTAAGTGAACCAGAGGGATCAAGGACACCAAAAGAAGATGTACAGACTCAAGCAACCTGGAACCATGAAACTGACAGAGACTGAGACACCAAACAAAAAGCATGCAGGGGCTGGATCTAGAGCTCCTACACATTCATGGCAGATGTGCAGCTTGGTCTTCATAAGGGTCTCCTAACAACTCCAGCAGGAACTGTCTAAGACTCTGTTGCCTGGCATTGGACCCCCTTCCCCTATTGGACTTACTGATAGGGCATTGGAGGAAAAGCATGCATCTAGTCCTGCTGAGACTATATGACCCAAGGAAGATACCCAAGGAAGGGCTTCACCTTCCTTGAAGTGAAGAGGAGAGGGTAAAGGGGGAGGGATTTGTGAGGCTGGCCTGGGAAAAGAGGAAAAAGGAGTTGCTGCTACCAAAATTCCTTTTTGAAAAATTAAGTAGAAAAAAAAAAACAACAAAGTCCCCAAACCTAATGAGGATCCAAGGGCACCTGAGTATAGGAGGGATTACTAAAAAAAAAGAAGATTGACTTTAAAAAAAGCACAAAAATAACACTGTGCCCTTGAGGTCTAAAAATTCATTATTTTCTCAACTGGAACGAGTACAGAGGGCCACACAACCACAGGTGTATGCATACACATGCAGCTGATACCCACCACGCTGACATCAGACAACGATTGCTAATGTTTATTGTCCTGAGGACTTTGCCCATATTAGCTGATATGATCCACTCTACAACCCTGTGAGGGATAACTCTGTCACAATTGAACAAACCATGACTAAAATGACAACTGATATAATCAATGTTACATAATAATTCCCTAATGAAACCAGGATCCAAGAGTTTGAATTATTAATTAAGATAAAATTAGATCATCTTTCTTCATCTCCTCCTTTCAATTCCTCCCATCCCCCAAATCCCTCTCAAATTCATGGCCACATTTTGATTATTATTATTGTTCCACATATATAAATATATGAATACAACCTGTTGACTCCATTTAGTGTGATTTGTATGTGTATGTTTTCAGGGCTGAACACTTGGTGCAGACAATCAATTAAGGAACACATCCCTGGAGAAGACTATGTCTCCCTCTCTCAGGAGTCAGTAATTGCCTGTAGTTCTTCGTCTAGGGGAGGGGTCTTGTGAGATTTCCCAGTCCACTTGAGCATATCTATTTAAGATGTCATTGTTCAGATCTTGTTTAGGTAACCACATTATTAATGTTTCATGAGTGTGACTCCCCCATCACTTCTGGAAGACACCATCCTCCAGCCGACTTTCAAGACCTCTGACTTAAAATCTTATTGCCCCTCTTTCTCAGTGTTCCTTGAGGCTTGAGTGTGGGGTTGTGTTTTAGATATCAAGGTCTTCACCTGTAACAGATTCACCCTTGCCTCATGTCATATAGGATTAGTGGGGGAAACAGCACCACATTCCAATTGCAATACTCCCCACTGGGTAATAAAGACCCCACACTCAGGCCTCTAAGCAGGAACAAGGTAAGGGGGATGAGCAAGCTGACAATGAGGACTGGGGAAGGGGAAGCAGGAATTCCATGCTGCCCTTCTTGCTCTAAAGGAAAAGCCATGGTGTTGATTTTCTACCAAAGAAAACCAGCAAGGATTTCTACATGATGGTTTCTTTTCAATCCTTCTAAGAGACTGTCTTGAGGTTAGCTAGTCATTAACACACACACACACACACACACACAAACACAACACGTTATAGCTTATAACTGTCTTTACATTCTCTTTATGGTCCTCATGATAAGTCCCTGAGATCAGTAAGCTATTGTCCCCATG